AAGTTGTGAATAGTTAACATCCAGAAGAACTCGTACTCATTCCAGGAAATAAAAGAATCTCATCTTTTATTTACCTCACATAAAATGGCTACCCCCAGTGATTTTATAAAGAAAAATGTACCTGGTGAAGGGAAACAGCATTAAGAAATGGACCCCAAAGATGGATGATCAAAATATGTGTTAATAAAAGTTAAAAAAACCCAGTTAGTATTCACATTGTTCACAAACCGCTGTAATCAGTCCATTTGATTTTATGCATACTGAAAAACAGCACTAAATAAGATAGATACAACATAATATACGAGTTATAATATCTATGGCAAACATAACATTGGAAAAACTAAACACTCTTTCCACCAACAGACAATGATGCATTATCACTGATATCAGTATACGATAGACAACTGGGAAGATATTAAAATTCAGTATATTGAAGAAATTCTAGGAATATTACAGTATTTCTGGAAACATGACATTCAGGTCAGTCTACCGTAAAAATATATGGTGGTAATATGTATCCAATTTATCTATCTACATATAAATGACCCATCGATCGTGTGGTTAGAGTCCAAACAAACAAACAAAACAGTTTACAAGAACACAATCACACATTTAAGACCTATATATCTACAATGGCAGCTAATCACAAACAAGACTATTATAAAGAAATGTTTTAATATTCATGGAATAATGGTTAACTTCACTTCTATATGTAGCAGATATTAATGATATTGTCCAGAATGACAAATAAACTTTTTGTGAATAAACCAGCTACATAAAAAAATCCACTCCATTCATTCAATTACAGATCACTTCAGGATAATGTTTTTTTTTTAGTTTCTCTTCTTAATTAAGATTATTCTAAAATAAACTTCATTCTGTTTTTTGAAATCTAGTTGTGCACATCAGCAGCCTTAGCAACAGTAGGTCTCAACATACACAAAGGGAAAAGCAAGATACTCCAATACAACACAGCACGCACCAATCCAATCACAATTGATGGAGAAGACTTGGACGATGTAAAAACTTTTACATGTCTGGGCAGCATCATTGGTGAACATGGTGGATCTGTTGCAGATGTGAAGATGCAGATCGGCAAAACAAGAGCAGCATATTTACAACTAAACAACATCTGGAACTCAAACAACTGTCTGTCAAACGACATCAAGGTGAGAATTTCAATGCAAATGTGAAGACAGTTCCACTGTATGGGGTAGAAACCTGAAGAACTACGAAAGCCATCATCCAGAAGATAAAGGTGTTTATTAACAGTTGTCTACGCAAAATACTTCGGATCCATTGGCCAGACACTATCAGCAACAACCTATTATGGGAGAGAATAAATCAGATCCCAGCAGAAGACGAAATCAGGAAAGTGCACCGGGAGTGGATAGGACACATATTGAGGAAATCACCCAACTGCTTCACAAGACAACCCCTCACATGGAATCCTCAAGGCCAAAGGAAAAGAGGAAGACCAAAGAGCACGTTACACCAAGAAATGGAGGCATATATGAGAAGACTGAACAACAATTGGATAAATCTAGAAAGGAAGGCCTAGGAGAGAGTGGGTTGAAGAATGCTGATCAGCGGCCTATGCGTAACAGGCGTAAGTAAGTAAGTAATTGTACATATCGATCTATCATATACTAATAAAGAACACCCTTTCTACCAGTAATCAATATTCGTAGATGTTCACTTGAAGAAACATTTCATAGATTATAATAAAAAAAGAAGTAAAGTTAAGAGTAAATAGATGGATCATTATAAATTATGAGGTATATTAGTATTAATAATAATAATAATAAGATTCATAATACCATCACCATCATGTAATTAAAATCATTTCCTTCATTCATTCATTCATTCATTCATTCAGTATAAATAATTTATATCAAGTATAAATCAAATGTGATAATTCAAAAGTATAATTTTTATAGCCCCTGAGATTAAACTGTGTCTCTACTATACTATACTGTACTATACTATACTATATTTATATGGATTAAATGTATCTATATACTCTATTCTCCTAAGGGATTCGTCTCATAAACATTTACTCTACTTTTTTTTTCCAAAAAAAGAGATGAACTATAGTCAATCTGTATGCAGCATCTATCTAACTATCAACAGTATGTTTGTATAATAAAGGGGATAATATTAATAAATAGTTAAATTATAATAATAATAATAATAAATAAATACTTATAATAATAAAATGCTTGGATAATTTTATCTATACAATTTACCTTGTATGTATATGTTTATGTATAGGTAGTTTTAGTTTCCGTGTACTTTTAATCAACCATTGTGATTTAATTATATATACATAGAGATAGATAAAGAGATAGATGGATGGATACATCCGCGTGCATACCTCTTGTGCGTACGTACTCACTCAAATACAAATACTTAAACGATCTAATTAATAATTCAAACTTTATCATAAATTTTTATAATGTTTATAATCCTATTAAATTGTATTAATTTTTTTCTAAAGGAATACAATCCTTATGGTTATATTATTGTAATATTAATTTCTATGTATAGGGATAAAGAGAGAGAGACAGATAGAGAGAGATAAATGGTACAAGAGAGAGATAGAGCGAGAGTAAGGCAGAGGGGGAAGCAAAATGTGACATCTAAGCATTAATTAAGGAGTTCATTCTTTATTCCGGCTTATTACTTCAATTACTTCAATAATCAATAAGTATGGTACTTAATGTGTATATATATAGTATGGTAACAGTTAAGTATAATATACAAAATTGATGGCTTTATATGTATATCTATACAACGTTTTTTTTAATGATAAAACTTTAAGGTATCCAAAATAGTTCATACTTGAAGAAGAATATGGAAGAAACTCATGACAATATGACAATAATATTTTTGTTAATGAAGTCAATCTCCTCAAAAAATGATAGCGACATCATAAAAATAGAAAGAAAGAAAGAGAGGGGATAGAGAGAAGGTACTTTTAGTAAAATAAGTTTGATGTATGTATATATTCTTAACTTCGCTAGGAGCTCCCCTGGTGTTATTGACAGTCCTAGGCTCCGATAAAGGAAGAAGTCGAACTCAAGACCTTCAGAACTTGAAATGAATGTTTAACCATTAAAACAGCTAAACGAACGTCCACTGACATCATTCTCACATTAAACAATTTGAGATATTGTATAACTATCTTCCAAAAACATAAGGGAAAACTGTTTCAATCCTGACATGTCAAATTACCAACAACAACGAATTTTCACTAAAACCTCATTACTCACTCGTTTCCCGATTGAGCCCTAACTAAGATCAATTTGTGAAAAATAAGATTTACAACTTAAACTAAATATACCATATTGAATTCTATTAAATACCAGATGTAGAAATGTCTTATGTTAAGCGAAATTCCATGCAATAATTTAGATTGTTTTGTGGAGAGAGGACTGAATCAAAGCAGTCTTCGTTATAGAATGAATTACGTTTGATATGGGTTGTGGAGAGTATTGAGTTTTCGATTGAGATCATGAATGGATCAATGTTAGACCACCATTGAAAACCTGGAAGGACTGGATGGCCGTTTCGTCCTAGTATGTGACTCCTAGGCAGTGCGCATCCACGATCCCGTTTGCGGGAATCGAATCTAGAATATTAACACCGTTGGATGCCGGCCAAGTGATCTATAGGTTAGGCGCTCGCGCACAAGACTGAAGGTCCTGAGTACGAATCCTGCGTGCGAGATTATGAATGCGCACTGCTCATGAGTCCCATACTAGAATGAAACGGCCGTCTAGTGCTTGCAGTTTGTCAATGGTGGTCTAACATTGATAGATTCGTGATTTCAGTCTAACACTATTGTTTTTTTTTTAGTAATTTTACACTTCTCAACAATAATTACTCAAAGTTACTCATTCCAGTTTTACAGACAGTATTAAATAAATCGGAATTCAATGGTCAATAAGTATTCAGAGCTAATCATTATGTAATTAAGTACAATCGTCATTTTATAGCATCTTGTTAAGAACAATCATCTTCAAATAAGCTTATTGTTACTGTGATTGTTTAAAAAATAGTTATAATTTAAACAATCTCTGTGTTGACTTTCAACTATTATCTTCCTGTTACTCAATTTAAAACATAATGCATCATCAAGTACATTTCTTAGTATACAAGGGTTAGCAGCAGTACGTACTATTTGACTGAATTGTAGTAAAGTGTATGTTATGTTCCTAACCCTGTAATTGATTGGTGCAAAGTTCAATACTTTAACAATCAAACTACTGTCATTACTGAGTAAAATTCTTTGTTCAGTTAGTTGTAAGCAACTTATGACATGTGCATTGGTTTAAATCACCACTAAACGATAGTTGCCACTTTAATATAATAGTTTACTTTGAATATTGTAATGATCCTGTCGAGTTTATTTACTAAAACATCTATTCGTTTAATTCCTATAACGGCAAACAGGTCAGCTAGAGCGCATTAAGAGGTCTAAGATGAAATTCCTACGTCCAAGTTCAATAGGGTGCAACGGAAGTAGGGTATTTCCGTCAAACAACCAGAATCTGGAGAGATGCTGTATACCCATAACGGAAGGAGTTGTTAGACGACTTCTACCCTAGGTTTGATACATCACATTCTAACCCACGGATCCCCTTCTTCTTCAGTAAGTCCTTTAAAGTATGCATTTAACACATTAAATAGTGCTTACAAAAAGGTACTATGTGACTAAGTAGCTCTCGGACTCTAAGATCATGCTCCCGAGCTTCCAAAACTACTCCTGATCTAGTTTTATTTTTAGATTTCCGAAGTAATTTTCCACGGTACGGTCGACTGAAAGATGAAAACAGCTCTCGAGAATATCTTGTTTGCAGTAAAATTTCCCCATCATTTCTTAATAAACTTCCCATTATTGATGAGTATATAACAAGGAAAAAAGAAACATACACTCATTCAAAGTATAGTAACCACCTTACCCCACCCTTGCAGCCACAATCCTATTAACTTACTTGTTTAAATTGCTCTTCAAATGTCCATTGATGATTATACCATGGGTTGAAGAATTGTCCATTTCTTCTCCTTCCATCTCTTCTTCACCTTCATCACTTTCCATTTCATCATTCTCTTCATCAACATCATCCATTGATGATAAATAAGTTAAATTATTTGATGAAAACTAATCGATTATTCAACAGTTGATGTGGACTATTCGATCTTGATGAAAGCTGGGGTGGTGGTGATGTAGATGCATAATTACTTTTATTATTAGTAATTGTATTATAACCATCATTATTTGAATGAATCGAATGAATTGGAGATGACGAATTACAACCGACTGATGATAGACTATTAATACTGACACTATTATTATTACAATTATTATGTTGGTGATGATGAGAGTGCGAATGATGAGTACCGCTCACCTTTGAATTTCTGTTTGGTGTTGAATTCAAAAATGCTAGTTGTTGTTGTTTTGTTATGTGTGAACGTTGCGTATGTGCCGACGACGATGATGATGAAGGGGGTACAGGTGGTTGTAATGTTAGTGGTGGTGGTGGATGCAGAGGAGTTGGTGATGGTGATAATTGAGATATTCCATAAGATTTAGATAATAATGAATAATTTAACTGACTTAATTGATTACATGGTGTTGGAAAACAACCAGTGGTTAACGCAGCCATTGCGGCGGCAGCTAACATTGGTGATATACAATTACTTAAACTATCTGAAGTCAATGTTGGAAATGACGTTGAATAATGATGGTTAGTTTGTTGATCAATTGAATAGGGATTATCATTGTCATCATCGTTATCATCATCATCGTCGTCATCGTTATTATCATCATTAGCATTATTCCGATCTACATGATTAACACCATCAATATCGTCTATATCACCGTTAGCTTCAGCACCATCAACACAATCATTTTTATATTCAACACCTTCTCTCTCCTCTTCTTCATCCTCATTATACTTTTTCCCTTCTACATCTAAGTCTTTACCTAATAGTTGTCTTTTTTGACATTCTTCATTATAATTCATCTCATGATCTGATGACATACAATAAGATGATAAATTTGATTTATTGGATTGACGTCGGTGCTGTTGATGACTGTATCTTGATAATTTAACATTATATGAATTATCTTCAGTTGGCTGGATATTCATAAAGTTGAGAGAGGAAAAATAAATGAAAAATTATAAAAAAATTGAAAAAAAGTTTAGATATTTGATGAGAGATTTGAAGTTCCTCACCTCAATCTCTGATGAAGTCATAGGCATGTGTTGCTGAGGTGTCATATACAAAAACAAAACAGTTGAGAAACTATCTAGTTTATTAATATTTAAATAGTTATTCTAACAAATAGTTAACATTTAAATGTTTTAAGCTGTTAAATCATAAACAGTATAGAATTAGAATGTAAATATATAACATTTCAATATCTTTGATATGTGGTTAAGAGTGTAATCCATGATGTGTTTCATCCTATATCAGATCAGTCAGCTAGATATTGATACTATCACATTGATTAGTCAAACTAGGTACTTTACATTCCAAATGAACAACACGTTATCTAGAAAGTTACCGAGTTCGATTCTGGATAACACTAACGTTTACTAATAAATATACAACACTCAGTATAAAGAAGTATGGTAAGAAGTAAAATAATTAGGGTAATGTAGTGAATCATAGTAAATAAGTAAGAATTCATCATTATCATCAATAACGTTTTCAAGGTTTGTAAGTCATCATTTATTGAAGAGTAACAGTATGGTCTAATACTATGCTCAAGATATAGAAAAATATACAGGGAATGAAAAGTTCAGAAAATGTGAGAGAATTCTCGGAGTTCTAGTGAGAAGCCGTGACCAGTGGAGCTAATCCTTGTCGGGTAGAGACAGGTATCTACCTCAGTACAACGGAAGTTGGTCGCGCAATTTCGTGGATTGGTTGATGTTAGAAACTATCACCATTGGATGCCGGCTCAGTGGTCCAGTTGGTTAAGCGTTCGCGCGCGAGATCGAAGGCCCTGGGTCCGAATCCCGCGAGTGGGATTGTGGATGCGCACTGCCGAAGAGTCCCACAGTAGGACGAAATAGCCGTCCAGTGCTTCCAGGTTTTCAATTGTGGTGGTCTAACATCAATTGATTCATGATCTCAATCAAAAAAAATTATCTATCAAAGTTCTACTTATTACATTGTCACATCTCATTATAACTAACTTCCAGAAGTTATTCGTTATTGAAAGCCTTTATAATATCTACTTGTTTTGTTACCATTTTCATGAACAGTCTGTCATTCTTACGACCTTTTTTTTTCTGAAATACATATGTAATTCCTTAAGACCAACGCAAAAGTATAGAGATAAGAAGAAACATTCATTGACATTAGAGTTGTATGTTAATCATTCATGATAGATATCTTATACTGATTGAAATCATGAGTCAATTGAAGGTAGATCACCATGGAAAACCTGGAAGCACTGGACGGCCGTTTCGTCCTAGTGTGGGACTCCTCAGCAGTGCGAATCCACGATCCCGCACCCCGCGAGATTCGAACCCAGGACCTATGAGTCTCGCGCCAGGTGCTTAACCAACTAGACCACTGGAGCGACCAGCACCCGACGGTGTTAATTTCTAACTTCAACTGATTCACGAAGTTGCGCCACCGTACACCATTGTCTTCAGTGAGTTCCTATCTCACAACAAATCTGGTTGAACTCCACTGGTAACGGCTTCTCACTAGAACTGCAAGAGTATCTATAGCGACTCACGTGCAAATGGGTTTATTCTCATTTAACTCAGTTAAGCCCTTTTGCTAACTTATTTAGCGGACAAAGCCATCCGTACTATAACAATTTATTGTACCCTTATTATTTTGTGCTTGCATGAAATACGTATGCTTGAATATTGATTACTGCCTACGCATTTATTCACTCTGCTAGTCTTACTACTAACCGCTTATTCGATTCGATTACCCATTCATTTCACATGGTATATATATGTCCATGTTATTCATATTGAACACTCACTCACTTACTCATTCGCTCACACGCTCTCATCACGCTCTTGCTCCGGCCATCGCTCGCTTGCTTGCCTTTCGGCACAACTCTTCTATGCTTATTTAACGCATTTGTACATTTGGATATATGTGTGTGGTCTCGCAATAAACTTAATCAACACTTCGTATTTGCCTTCTGATTATTATACCGTTGGGGCGTTATACAGAACGGTTAGTAAGACGAATTGTATACGAAGTTAAGGATTATATCGGATACCGACCACCACATATCTCTTGAAGTCAGTCACTAGTGAGCAGATGATTTTTATCAGAAGGGGTTTTTTGTGGAGATTTTAGAAATATCACTGATGTGCACTGCTGAGGAGTCCCATACTAGGAGGAGACGGCCGTCCAGTGCTTCCAGGTTTTCCATGGTGATTTAGCTTCAATCGACTCATGATTTCAACCAGTGAAATTTCTAAAATCTTCACAAAATCCCCTTCAGATATCTTATAAGCACCGAGGGAAAAAATCAATATTTTTTTATTTCAGGAATTCTGAAAATGTCACTTAGTATCTTACAAATTTCAGATAAATTTACGAATTTCTAGTATATATGATGTGAGGTCAACAATGGAATACGATATGCACATTTTGTTTTGGTAATGAATGTGAACATCAACATTAGGATCCTGATACATCCATCTGTCGAGTCTCGGATAAGACGAAGCTCAACTGTCCTGAGCATCATAGTTATCAATAAACTAAATAAATTAAGTACTTGCAAATAAAGGCATTATCGAGGCAATCTGTTCAGGATACATATATACCAGTAGAGACTGATCACTTATAATTCTTGACATCAGTAACGGTAAAATAAAAATCCTTATTAATAGAATTTTTGACAAATTAACAGATCAAGATTATCATGGTAACTATGGTATCGTTAAATTCTAAACTTTGTTTATCAAATGTTTCATTTTCTAATGGTGAGCATTTTTCACATTCTATGACCTTACTAGACTTGATCTGATTTCTTGAATGAAGTTAAACGGTTATGATGAAGTAGTAAAAAAGAATGTTACCTATCAGGCATTCTTTTCAAGATTGATTAGTAACCTGAACATCTTAGTTTAATCTTTATTGATATTTAAAGTCAGTTGTGCGATAATGATGATTTATCTCATTTACCATCATTGTACTTAGCTTCAAATCACATATTATTCATAAATGTTAATGATACTATCTGATTATCTAAATTGAACTAAATGGAGTAAAATGCTAAATTAGAAACCAATGGTTAAAATTCTAACACTTATATCGTTAGTCAATTGAAGCTAGACTACTATGGAAAACCTGGAAGCACTGGACGGCCGTTTCGTCTTCAGCAGTGCACATCCACCATCCCGCACCCCGCGGGATTCGAGCCCAGAACCTACTGGTTTCGCACGAGCACTTAACCACTGGGCCACTGAGCCGGCATCCGACGCTGTTAATGTCTAACTTCAACCAATCCACGAAGTTGCGCCACCGTACACCATTGTCATCAGTGAGTTACTATCTCAAAACAGACCTGGTTGAACTCCACTAGCCACTATGTCTCACTAGAACTGCATGAAACATCTCTTGAATTCAGTCACTAGTGAACATGTGTTGATGAATATCGGAACTGGTTGTGAAATTTCTAAAAAATCTTCACAAAACCCATTTTTATATGATTAAACCAACTATCTACTGTCTAATATCTTGATCTAATCACTAATATAATTGACTTGACATTGAAAATAAATGATATTAGATTATTGTAAGTAATTAATAGGAGTGAGTTTTGTTGTTGTTGTTGTAAACTTCAAGTCTACTAGCCAACAAATTATAAATAGATAATTATACTACTGTAAAATTCAAAAAAATATTACTGAAACAGCTGTCCTGTCCATCCTAGTTCTCTTTTTTTTGTTTTTTTCCTTTCTAGAAATATAGGTCAGCAACCTATGAATGATGATGGTGATGATGGTGATGATGATGAAAACTACCTTTTAGATTTATCAAATTTCCATAAAATTATTAATTAAAACATATTGAAATTTATTTAATAACTTTTTTCTTTTAATTTTTGAGGTTTAACATTTTAAATTATTGAAATATGAACATCACAATTTTCCTCATAGTTATCATTATCGTTGTCATGACCATTCATGTCTATAATAATCACTTTATTCTAGTTGTGTGCTTTGTCCTTAGATGACATTTATAGAACAGTTGTTGTGTTATAATTCATCTTACCACCGTCACAGTACACACACACACATACAGAGAGAGACAAGTATTTATAGCCCGGACACAATATCCTTCTACTAACAATAACATCTATATATATATGTGTATACAGGCTCTCTTATTTGCACACAAAAACATAAGCATGATTATTTTTTATTTGAAATAATCACCTAGATGAGGCCGATGAATCTCGTATATTCATACATTATTATTATTATTATCACAGGAGTTAGAGATTAACCGGAAGAAATAGGGAATAACGTGAACATCTTAAGAAATGACCGCAGATGCAAAATAACGAACAATTTCATGGTGGTTTATGTTGTATTTAACCCCTTCCCAATTGTTTCTATATATGTATATTGTTGTATTGACTATCCACTATTAATAATCATACCACAGTTGTCATCATTTAAATTTCTAAATATTGAACTTCATCTAACACGGTTTATTGTATTAACACTAATTTTTGTTTTCTACAATATATGATGTTTGATTATAGTTAAAACAAATAATATGACCTTAGATTTAACACTAAATTTTTTTGTCTTTTCAACTATGGTTCTCTTTTTTTCCCTCTCTCTCTCTCTCCCTCTCCCTCCCTCTCTCTCTCTCTCTCCTTTCTTTCTTTCTATTACACATACGTAATAGTCATCTAAATTTAGTTATCGTCATTAGAACAACCGAAGTAATCAACGATATTTTTTTCATATAGAATAGTAATTAATTGTTCATGTAGGTGAAAGAAAGTTATACATGTCCTTATTGTATATACATGGATATATGATCAACATTGTTATGTGTATTAACCACTTTTCTAATTTAGGATACATATGCGTATCTAATAAAAGTGTATTGTATGTCATTGATATGTAGA